CTAAATATATCGAAGAAATTATAGACAGTTTGAAAATGAATCATAAAAATATCTATGTGTGGATAAACTGCTCAAGATTTCAATGAATTGATTTAGAAGTTATTTTTGCAAATAGTGAACCTTTAATATCAAAAGCATATTAGTGGGGTTGACATTGTGGTATAGTGGATAACACTGTTGCCTGAGGCACCAGCATCCCATATGGGTGCTGGTTTGAGTTCTGGTTGATCCACTTCCAATACAGCTCCCTGCAAATGTGCCTGGGAAAGCAGCAGAAGGTGTCCCACATGCTTGGGCCCCTCACCCATATGGGAGACCCTAAAGAAGCTCCTGGCTCCTGGCTTCCTCCTGGCTCAGCTTGAGCCCTTGACATTTGGGGAGTGAATCAGTGCATGGAGGATCTCTCTCTCTTTCTCTCTCTCTGTCATGTCCATGTTTCACATAACTCTGCTTTTCAAATAAATAAAAAAAAACTAAAAAAGGCATATCAGTACAAAACTAGAAGTTAACATTCACTCTGTTAAAATGCCAAAGTCTTTGTAGAATGTGTTCTGAAAATGTAGTGCTTTCTCTTTTTTATATGAGTGGACTAAGAAACATAATTTTGTCTTTTATGAATTCTATAAGCTTCAGGTACCTATTATTAGGTCATTACTTTATTAGGTTGATAACACAGAAAGCAAATCTTCTCAATACTGAAAGATGTTATATTTACAACTATGTAGTTTTCTGGATGTGTCTAATTAATGACACTTTGGTATTGTTTCACAGTGACCTGTAATCCTGATTTATTTATTTGTTATTACCTTTTGACATTTTTGACAACTTTCCCAATTAAATTCTAATTAAGTCTTTGTTCAAAATTTTTAAAATTCATTTCCACTTTGACAGTCATAGAGAAATAGAGACAAGCAGAGAGATATTTACCATCCATGGAGTTTTCCCTGAAATGCTCAAAACATCCTAGACTGGGTAAAGCCAAAGCTAGGAGCTTGGAATTCAATCCTATTCTCCCGCATGGTTATCAAGGACCCAAGTAGTTGAGCCATTGCCTGCCTCTTTTCAGGGTGTGCATTAACAGTAGGTGTATCCAAAGCAAATGAGTAAGGGCAAAAGCTAGGATCTCTGATATGAGACACAGTCATCGTAAAAAACAACTTAACAACGGCACCAACTGCATGACTCAAATTAAATCTATTTTTGTTTACATCAAACTAACTTTAGGTACTTCCAGAGGACTCTTGAAATACCTCAAGATAATTTATTTTCCCTTCTTATACAATGAGGAGTGATAGCTGCAGAGATATGTTAAATATGCAGGGGAAATAAGAAAGAAGGTTCAAGTTTCTTTGATTTATATAGATATGTTATTAATATATGCTGGAAATTCCATGACATTCTTCAAAGTCCAATAAGTCCTCACACAGGAAATCGTATTCCTGGTTATTTTTTTTTCATTTTTTTTATTTTTAGACGGGCAGAGTGGACATTGAGAGAGAGAAACAGAGAGAAAGGTCTTCCTTTTTCCATTGGTTCACCCCCCAGTGACCACTGCAGCCAGCGCACAGTGCTGATCTGAAGCCAGGAGCCAGGTGCCTCTCCTGGTCTCCCATGTGGGTGCATCCTCCACTGCACTCCCAAGCCACAGCAGAGAGCTGGACAGGAAGAGGAGCAACCAGGACAGAATCCGGCGTCCCAACCGGGACTAGAACCAGGGGTACTGGCGCTGCAGGCGGAGGATTAGCCTATTGAGCTGTGGCACCGGCTGTATTCCTGGTTATCATGTTAGGTTCTGATAATCCAAAACTAAGAAAGAAAAGCTAGACCTTTTTTTTTTAACTTTTATTTAGTAAATATAAATTTCCAAAGTACGGTTTATGGATTACAATGGCTCCCCCCCCCCATAACTTCCCTCCCACCTGCAATCCTCCCATCTCCCACTCCCTCTCCCAAATTGTACATCTCCTCCCTCTCTTATTCCCACTCTTATATTTAACAGAGATCACTTTTCAGTTAACTTTAAACACCTAAGAATAACTGTGTGTTAATTACAGAGTTCAACCAATAGTACTAAGTAGAACAAAAAAAAATACTAAAAGGGATAAAGTATTAAATTGTGCATCAACAGTGATGATAAGGGCTGATCAAGTCACTGTTTCTCATAGTGTCCATTTCACTTCATCAGGTTTCCTTTTTGATGCTCATCAACAGTAGACTGGATAAAGAAATTATGGGACATGTACTCTATAGAATACTATACAGCAGTAAAAAACAGTGAAATCTGGTCATTTGCAACAAAATGGAGGAATCATCGTGCTGAGTGAAATAAGCCAGTCCCAGAGGGACAAATATCATTTGTTCTCCCTGATCGGTGACAACTAACTGAGCTCAGTGTGCCAAAGGTGACACACTCAGGTTAGGCATAGTAAATCTCTCTCTCTCTCTCTCTCTCTCTCTCTCTCTCTCTCACTTTTGATTCAGAAGGGAAGTAATATCGCACAGCTGAGTGGAATTGAAGATAGTCAGCTTCTGATCTCTGGCTCCTGGGGGTATGTCATTCGTCTGCTCTTTCCCAAGGACCACAAAGAGAATCTGTTCTGCCCTCAGTGTGGGCTCAAATTCTCCTGCAGTCTCCCACCGGGTTGCCAAGGTTACCAAATTGTAGCGTCTTTGTAGAGTACTCACGTGAACTCCGTGAGTTCTCTCACCCACCGTCTCTTTTTTCATTGTCTCAGTTCATTATCTCCACACATTCTAACAGGTCCTAACTTCCTGTTATTTCACACACACACACACACACACACACACACACACACACACCCCAGAGTCAGGTTATTCTGTTTTGACTGAGGGCAGGCGCAGATCTGAGGTTGCACACAGCCTTGAGGTCGCGCAGCTTTTACATATATCCAAATTGGCGCCTGCTCTTTGTCTCTTGCTCGCCTTTGTGATGTGGGCAGAGAGAGAGAAACTCCTCCATACCGGTCCCTTTTTTTTTTTTTCTCTCTCCTGTAGTTAGCCTGGTGAACTTTCCCCAGCGGGGCTTCAAGCCTCGTTCCCTCTAGGCTCTATCTGCTGTTTTCCTGCCAATGTCTCAGGTTACTGACCTCACCTCCCCTTCCAGCACAGATGTGTAGTCTCTGCAGTTGGGCTCTGGAGCCATGGGTGTCCTTGCTCTCCCCGTAGGTTGTCCATGTCACATCCACTAGATCCGGAAGAGTTTCCTCTGCAATTTTTTCCCCGAGCCTTTCCCTGAAACTACAGTAACTCCACTTTTATTAAGCTATCTTTTCTTGGACTACCAGTGCGCGTCCTCACTCTTCCGCCATCTTGGCTCCGCCCCCAAAAGCTAGACCTTAATCACATGCCTGAAGAACCACCATTCCTTACTGATCAAAATACATCGTGTTGTCTGCTCTATGAAATCCACTCAGGCTAAGATAGTGGATATTTGGGCTGTTGTGTAGGACATAACTGTGCTTGAAAAAGTAGGGGGGAAAGAACATAGTTGGTTCTGGTGAGAAGAGTCCTCAAAACATGTTCATGTCCCCAGTAACCAGGACAAAATTTTAAAAATCTTAAGTGTTCCTGTGGCTCTGCATCTTCCTCACCCTGGCTGTAGTCCCTGTTCTTCTAAAATGACAAGAATATCAGAGGAACATCTGAAATGTCATTTTAAATGTGGAAGGAATGGTCCTGGAAGAACCAATGAGAAGGGATCCTGGATTTTCTTAGATTGTGTTCATACACTCAAATTTCAGACCCTTAGACAACAAGAAAGAGAAACATTAATCATTCGTTGCAAGCAATTTTATTGTTATATAAAAGACTTATGACTGCATTGATCCGATGTGCTGTCTTGGTGAAGACGTTGTCTTCTTATTCACCTCCTGAAACAATAAAACAAAGCAGGTTTTAGGCAATACTTGATGTGACAAAAAGTTACCAATCTCTTGCTCCCTTTCCTAAGTTCTTTTGATTCACTCTTTCTATGTAGGTCATAGACTATGTGCTCTAAATTGTTGCTTACCAATTAAAGAAAACGATTATTCTTAGGCGTTTATAGTGGTTACCATTGACAATGTTCATGCACAAACTTATTAAGCTGGTCCATGCAATATCTCTTTTAACAGGGAAAAACCAAAAGGGGCCCAAATTTCCATTGACAAGTAATATTTTCAGACATTATGGTACCCCCTCACACTGAAATAGTATACATTTAAAGAAATACCCACCCTACTAAGGAGATTTCTGCATCTCTACTAGCTTATGTGTAAGTTTTCTAGGGAATAAGTTACTGGAAATAAGCAATATACAGATCTGCTACAAAGTCCTGCAACATTTGTGGGAAAACGATGTTTTCTACTTTTGTACATATACTTGTTTCCTAGAAAGCATCCACAAAAGCTCAAGTGGTGGCTTTTGATGAGACATGGTGGGAGGTAGGATGAGAATGCTTTTAAAGTTTAATTTCATGCCTTTTTTAGTGAGCTTAACTTTTTAAACTTGAAAATGTTTTAATTCACATATTAATATTTAAAAGGTGGAGGATGTTTGATAGAATAACTTAAATATTCTTTACCAAGGATGTGGGACCTGAGAGACTTGTGAGACAGAACAGAGCAAAGAATGTTGAGATGGAAACTTGTGACGGGCAGTAATTCAATCACAGCACAGGAGGCACAGGACCAGAAGGATACAATTGGTCCACATCTACATTACCAATATAACTTTAGACAGGTAGTCACTTGGAAAAAGAAATTTAAGGGCTATGTTTCTCAAATCAAAATTATCTCTCAGAGTTTATTAAAATTATGAGGTCTTGCTACCTTATCCCAGAATATCTGAATAGAAATCTTTAAAGATATTGTCATAGCTATGATATTTTAAAATGTTTCAGGTGATTCTTGAACCCAGTCAAGTTATAGGGACATATAATGGCCCTTGTAGACACTGAATTTAAATCTGACCTGAACTGTAGATTACTGGGGTAGTTGGTCTTAGGGAGGTGGTGGTCCAGCCCTGTGGAAAAGTTGTGGCACAGGTCTTTGTTGGTATCTAAGGGGAGGTAGGCGATGCTGGTTTTGTTGGTCTTCCTGTTGGCTCGCTCCATGGTGGCTTTTAGGGGGAGGTGGATGGTGCTCATTCTGGTTGGCTTCTTCTGGTGGTAGATTCTGCTCTGTAATTTCATCTTGATTTTCATCATAATCATCGAAAGAGCTAGCTGGGAGTTCCTCAGGAGGTAGTGCATCAGAGCTCTCATCTTGGTTCTCATAGTCTGTATGTGTCAGTACAAGAAAAGGCAAGTTTCATGATGAAAGATGCAACTCTATGGTGAGCAGTCTGATGCCCGCACAGTCTCTTCCCAAGTCTTTCTCTCAACCCCTCACCTCCTTTATGCACACATCTTTCTTATGTAGTACTACTCTTATTTCATATACTGTGATATGGGGCATCTCCTTCCTTGACTCTTGGAAAAGGATGGCCCTAATATTTGGAAAAAAAGAAAGAGAGAGAGAGAGAGAGAAGAAAGAGGAGGGAGGGAAGGAGAGAGGGAAGCAGGGAGGAAGAAAGGAAAGAAGAAAGAAAGAAACAAAGAGAGAGAGAGAAAGAAAGAGAAAGAAAGAAAGAAAGAAAGAAAGAAAGAAAGAAAGAAAGAAAGAAAGAAAGAAAGAAAGAAAGGAAGGAAGGAAGGAAGGAAGGAAGGAAGGAAGGAAGGAAGGAAGGAAGAAAGAAAGAAAGGCATTTTGGATCCCTTATTATTTCCAGATGATATCTCTAGAGACTAACAGAAAGCAGAGCAAAAGTATTACAAACATAGTTATAGGCAAAGTTTTTGGGACTATCAATGACTTGCTGACTGTGGCTCTACATCAGACACCTGAGCCCAAGCTGAAACTAGAGCTGATGTTTCAGGTTCCAAGACCCATTTGCGGGCATTTGAAGAGTGACACAATGAAGGTTAGATCTCCGCATCTCTCTCTCTCTCTCTCTCTCTCTCTCTCTCTCTCTCCTATTTTCCATTCAAAATTCTTAAAAAAAAGTTTGAGGGTTACTTTTGAATGTACCTGATGCTATTTGGGAATCATCTGGATAGACGGCATCTAAGAAAGAAGCACAAGATTAAGTGAAGGTTAAGTTAGGATCTTTCAGGGTTCACAGATATTTGACAGGGGAAGGACTCCTCTACTCACAGTCTACGCATGTTGTAAGGTTCCTTGCCACTCTCTCTGCCACTGCTGGGAAGGGAAACGCTGAACTCCATGTACAGAGAGCCCTATTTGTCTTCCCTTGGATCCATGAAATATGCTGCTAATTTAAGTTAAGTGTCCAGCAAGTTGCCATGTCATATTTTGATAAACATCTAATCTCTTTCTTCATTAAACACTTAGCCAGATGTAATAACTTTTTATCCGCAGGCACAATCAGGAGTAATTATAACATTTGAATAATAAAGTAATCAGAAATATGTGCAGAGCATAGTGACGTTTTAATAAGCATGAGAGAAATATAAGATAAATTTGTGCTAGTATTTCTGTATTTTTATGTACTGTCAAAATTATTATTTGTTTTTCTATATCTGAAATAGTTCTGCTGGCTGTTATCCTGCTCGTCTGAGCTGCATTCCCAGATTGACAGGCAGATGTCCTGCCCTATTTGATTACTGTGATATCTTCACTACTGGACTTCCCTGTGTCAGTCTTGCTGTTGTCCTGCACATCCTTCACAGCCCAGTCAGAGAGATCTTTCTTCCCTTGTGATTTTACCTGGTCATTGTTCTATTGGAACACTTTAGTTCCTTTCATACTTTGAGTAAAGTATCAGGCGATGGTCTTATCATTATCAGAAGAACTGGGCAACCCTATTCTGCTTTTCATCCCCTAGCCCTTCCCTCCACCCCCTCTTTGAAGTATCATCTTCTACCCTGCCCTTTTTCATACCATCATCTGTGGTCTGAGCTGAGCTCAGAGCCAGCAGGGTCACTGACAGCAGGATCAGCAGCATCTTGGAGGAGGCTCTGGAGTTGCTCCCAAGTCTGTGCTGGGAGACTCGGGGCAGTTCCCTTTATACAGAGGAGCAGAACAAGGGCACCTTTGAGCTCTACGCTGTGCACCTCCCAACCTGACACACTAGGCTCGTGTGCTCACATCACTTTAAAGACATGCTATATTTCTCTTTGGGACTTGAGCCCAGCAGGGTGGGGTGAGGTGAAAGATGTCAGTCTCATTTCCAAGGGGTTTGGCATGTGACTTGGGCAAAGATTTTGAACAAATATGTCCAAGGATTCAGCACAGATATATTAATGTTAAAATTTGTGAATCAGTTGTGCTCTTTCCTTTGCTTTGTGTGTGTGTGTGTGTGTGTTGACAGTGATTCTCACCCACAGAGTTGTTTAAGAAAATATTCTTAATGCAGTAAGTTTTGCTCTAGAAAGCTTTTTCTTGCAAGGAGTCCAAGCCCATTATTATTTCTTTCTTCTTTGAATTCTTATGGATATATTTTGTCCTGTGGCTTGAATGTTATCCCTGGCAAACCCAAGTTGAATTTAACTCCCAGTGCAACAGTGCTACAGGGTGGGACCAATTTGAATGTTATTTCATGAGGATTCTGCCCTTATGAATGAACTAATGCCATTACATGGGAATGGATTAGATATCCTGGTAGATGGTTGCCTGTAAAATGATGAGGTCTGACCCGACTTTTCACTTCCCTGTTCCTGTCCTGTGTCTCACACATGCTCATTTGCCCTCTACCAGGTTCTAATCCAGTATGAAGGCCCAAGGTCATTCTCTACAGTTCACCAATGTCAGCAATAAATTACAGAGATTAGTCTGTCATGAAAGGATAAATATCAGCTATGAATTCACAAGACTCAACGAAAACAGAGGTTATAGAAGAGTGACTGTCATGTAGGAGTGGTGAGGTTAAAGTAATGAGCAAGCCTGAAGGATGCAGCCCAGGGATTGTAGATGGGTTGAAGTCTTCATGCAATCCATTTGCCTTTTATTATGTATGCTGACCTCAACATGTTCCATATAGCGTTTTTGTGTTCCACACACAAATACATGCTGTCCTCTGTAATAATTTGTTATGATGGCTGTAACAACATGCTGGGACTGGGTGGTATTACACAGAAGGAATTTATTTCAGAAACTTCTAGAAACTAGAAGTCCAAGATCAAGGTGTCAGAAAACTTAATTTCTTCTGAGATCTTTAACTTAGGCTTCCAGAAGACTTCTTGCTCTGTCTTCATGTGGCGTGTCCTCTGCACACACATATTTGTAGTGATGTTTGTACAAATGTAATCTTTCAAAAAGGAGCAACTTGGATTGCATTAATGCCCACTCTAATAGCCTGATTTCCACACAATCACCTCTGTAAAGCTCTGTTTCCAAATAAGGGCATTGTGTATTATGACTTGAGGCATTTGAGAAAGTCACAAGTTAACCCATACTTTTTCTCATCTTTTCTTAGTGACAGTTATGTCATCCAGTGGACCAAAAAAAGATGGAAGTCACTTTGACTTGTTAGTATCCTGTATCCCAACATGCTGCTCATTTGCAAATCCAACTAACTCTACCATGAAATATATCACAAAATAATGTCTTATTTCTGTTTCAAGACCTTCATTCAGGCCTTCATTAATTGAAGTATCATCTTCTACCCTGCCCCTTTTCATACCATCTTCGGTGGTCTGAGCTGAGCTCAGAGCCAGCAGGGTCACTGAGAGCAGGATCAGCAGCATCTTGGAGGAGGCTCCGGAGTTGCTCCCAAGTCTGTGCTCTCCTCCCTGCCCAGCTGACTGGATAATATTCCTGCCTCTAGCACATCCCTTTTCAATTCTCTGCATGAAAGTTAGCATGATGTGTGAAAAAAAGAGAACTTAGGTACTGTGTTTTCTTGCTAAAATTATGCCTGATTTTCCCAATTCACTTGTTCTAATATGCAAATTTCATGCCTCTGCTACCTCAACCACCACATGTTGCTTTGTTTCTGGAATACTGTTCAGATCCCTGGGACAGAAAACAAAAAAACAAAATCTTTTTTTTTTAATTTTATTTAATGAATATAAATTTCCAAAGTACAGCTTATGGATTACAATGGCTTCCCCCCATAACGTCCCTCCCACCCGCAACCCTCCCCTTTCCCACTCCCTCTCCCCTTCCACTCACATCAAGACTCATTTTTGATTCTCTTTATATAGTTAGCTTCACATTCACTTGTTTGCCTGCAGCTTGAAAAGAGGGTTCAGAAAAGATGAATATTAACAGAGTGGAGAAATTTATGCTGGAATGTTCATTGGTGTCACTGATCAAGGCAGAGTTCACATGGTTTGAACAAATTGCCTTATTCATTGAGTCAACTAAGCATGATATAGTGAACAAACAAACAAAATTGTCCCTAAGAATTTGACTTTGCTTAGATATTTCCTAATTAATATGGCTATACTCATATAAAACTGCTTAAAAATTTGATTTTGACTCTGTAAATGCACATTACATTCTATTTTTTAATTTTTTTTTTTTTTTGGCAGGCAGAGTGGACAGTGAGAGAGAGAGAGACAGAGAGAAAGGTCTTCCTTTGCCGTTGGTTCACCCTCCAATGGCTGCCGCGGCCGGTGCACCGCAGCCGGCGCACCGTGCTGATCCGATGGCAGGAGCCAGGTACTTATCCTGGTCTCCCATGGGGTGCAGGGCCCAAGCACTTGGGCCATCCTCCACTGCACTCCCTAGCCACAGCAGAGAGCTGGCCTGGAAGAGGGGCAACCGGGACAGAATCCGGCGCCCCGACTGGGACTAGAACCCGGTGTGCCGGCGCCACAAGGCGGAGGATTAGCCTAGTGATTAAGGAAATGATTCATATTTTTCCCCAAGGGAAATAGGTATATTGTTTTCAGAATAATGCTGTATATCCTACTTAAGGGTATTGATAGTATTATATACTACTACTAATAATATTAATAATAATAGTAAAAATAACTATTTCATAGGACACAGTTTCACTCAGTGAACTTCTTAGAAATTGGAATGTGTGGCACACTGAGTTTATACAATGACCTCCATATTCTCTTTCTCTGACGATTCTCACAGCACTGCTGTTTTTGTCCTCTCATCTATGGGGTTTCTTTTTCATGAGATTTTCATGGCTCTTGAGTTTTCATGACAGGTGCGTTTTGATTAAACCAGGAGATTTCAGGTGTTGTTTGTCTCTAGCCTTACTTGAACTCTCCATGTTAGCTGGCTTGCTCTGGCACTGCTTCAGCAGAGGGCAAGGGTGGGAGGCAATCACATGAATCTTGGAATGGGGGTAGGAGTAATTTTGCTCCTCACCCTCTCTTGACACGCAGGAAAGGGGGTTCCTGATGACTATTGGGTAGTATTACAGGAGATACAAATCTGGCCCCTCCCACAGATTCCTCCTGTCTGGGAGCAGGAGTGGCCTTCCCATGTGGTCTTCACCTATTCCATCCCAGTGTGGAAGAAGAAAGGGTGCTTCCTTACTGCAAGTTGAGGAGGAAATTCGAGGTCCTCCATGGCCGTACCATGTTAGCACAGAGTGGGAAAGAGTGAGTCACACAGTCCTACCAGATGGGAATGACAGTTCCAGTTCCCACTGTTCTCTCTATGCTATAGTGCAGGACTGAGACACCTGTCCCAGCTTGGCAAACATATAGGTCCAAGCACTCCTCTGAATGCCAAAGTTATAGCCAGTGTTTGGCTGCAGATGAGTGGCTATTGTCTAAGTGATTGCTACTTTGTTAGGATGTCTGGTTCTGGTACATTTGCTGGAAACAGTGGGCTTTTATTCATCTATTTTGTTCTGTGCTCATTCATATTTCTGTTTTTCTGGATTTTCCAGTTACAAATCTGCTATTGACAAATCAGAAAAGGAAATCTGGGGAATTCAATGACATGTCATTCCTTGGGTCTCTTGCACATATACCTTGTTCTCACCAGTTTTCAAAGTCTTCTTATGCTTTAAATGTAATGTTCTAGAGTTTTAGTGTTTGAGGATAAGGAAAAGTGCGTATGTTTCATTTTTGCATGAATATATATATATATATATATGGCATTATTCTGAAAGCAATATACCTATTTCCCTTGGGGAAAAATATGAGTCATTTACTTAGGAGAGAGCCTGCTTGCTTTCCAGACTGACAAGTCTTAGTGAGGCCTATAGATGTCACTACTCACTGTAGAGGTAGAAATCAGAGTGAATCTTATATGTCAAAGTATAGAAACACTGTCACTCAAATGAAGGAGACTTGGATATCTTCCAGCCTCACTAGCCACCTGAGGATATGCATGGAAGTATTTGTTTATCAGAATTCCTTCTTCATAGTCTTTCTGCTTCTTTTTGAATTCTTCCAGTGGTGAAGACAGCAGTTATTTCCCGAGTCATCTATTTTTTTGCATAATCCATTGTTAGAAAGTTGTTATTTGGAAGGATGAACAAAGCCCATCTCTGAATAAGTGCATCTGTTAGACTATGGTTGCCAAACATTCTGCAGTATATTTTTATAGACATTGTGCATTTAACTCTTATAAATAACTCTGTGTTTTAGTTCTGGATACTATAATAGAAAACTGTAGTCTGGAAAATTTGTAAATAATGGAAATCTATTTCTCATAATTTTGTATGCTAGAAGGTTCAAAGTCATGAGACTAGCAGATTCTGTCTTTTGTGAGGTTCTAATCATCATAGATGGTTTTTCCCATCTTTTTCACATGATAGACACATGTAAAAATGTTTAAAACTTTGTCTTTATTTGGGAAAAGAGACAGAAGTCCCAGATAGCTCTCTGAAGCCTCTTTTATAAGGGAATTTATCTCATTGTTGAGAGCAGAAGAATGATATCCTACAAGAATGTGCATTTTCTCTCTGTTGGTTGACATATTCTCTAAATGTCTATTAAGTCCATTTGCTAATTAATGTGGTTCAACTCAGGTATATCTTTGTGGATTTTCTGTATGGATAATCTGCTAATTGATTTCAGTGGGGGC